TGCTCTTTTCTCATTCTAGAACATTCTATTGTATGATACGCAGTGTATGTGAGGTATTGGGAGATTTGCCACTTTGAAAATGAATAATTTTTATGGAACATTTTGGCTACAACAACCTTAGCTATGTGACAATTCTAACCAAGCAAATTGTAATTTTATTGTGGCAAGGGTACACACTCAAAATACTGATCTGATATTCCCTATAATTACTTCACATTTTTTTTCAGGATTGCTTTTTTACTTTTTTATAGATACAGTCAGGCCAGCTATTGTATCATGTACACAGGACCAGATACTCCTTGTAGTGAATTGGTTGTCCCTATGTTTATCAATCTTTATTCTTTCTTTAGGGTGTCCCGGATGTTGTCTTAATGAACTGCCGCATGTTCATCATTGTTACAGCAGAGGTATGACATTTTTTTCTACTTACTTATTTTTGTCTTTAGGATAAAGTAATGAAAGAATACCCATCAACAATACCTCAACGAAGTGATGTGGGTCAGTTACTATTCTATATGCTGGGTGTGATGATACAAAACGTATCTGACAATAACCAATATCAATTGGGATTATTTATTGAAGGAAATCAAGTAAACTATGGTAATGTAATTGTATGTCATGAATTACTTTTTCTAGATTTTGCTATGCTATGGTTCTCCTACTGTATCTGTTGGGAGCAGGGAAGTGGAGATGGACTTCAAGATGTCGCAGTTTATAAATGTATTAGATGTCAATTCATTGAAAATGATCTGTGACAGTATATTGTCTGTCACAAACATCATTTTAGAGAACAAATAAAATTATTTTACTTGTCTCCTTGCTTATTACAGCCATACCTACGTGTATGTTGCTTTAATGAAAGAAAAGAAAATTGTTTAACTGTTTCAGAAATTGTTGCATTCTACTTCTCAGATTCCTGTGGTATTAAATAATTTGACCTATACATTGCCATACTATAAGTTTCACCATGTATATAAGTACTTCGCCTATATATGCAAAACTGGTAACCAACAACTCAGTGTTAAATATTGCTGGAACCTGTTGACATACAAGGGTTAAAAAAATTAGTGCATCTCACAGTACATTTAGCATCTCTAGGTTATAATTAATACTAGAGACCCCAAGCAGCACCATGTGGAGGTAGTACTGTATATTGCTGCCCAACCTTAAAATAAAAAGGAACATGAGAAATGTATGTGACTAGTTATTTACCTTTATAGCTGAAGTAATGTCATTGCTGGTAATGTTTGAGATGTACTAAAATAAATGAATTGCTACAATATTACAATCATAAATTATTGACTAAAAATTGTTAACACTATGTGAGGTTCAAGTCAACCAATTCATAGTGATTTCTTGCATCTGTATGAAATAGGTATACATTAAACTTGAATAAGTAATGACAGCTTTCATTATGAAGTAATGATTTAAATGTATACCAAGTACAGGCTTTCTTTTGTGTTGACAGTATTGAAACATGAATCTTTAATTGAAATACAGTTGCAGCAATAAAAATTTCATTCTCAGTATCCCATGTACCAATTGGCTTAATTTTTAATGCAATAAATGTACCCTCATTGCATTTGCAGCATTTTATTTGGCACGTGTGGCCAAACTAAATTTGACAATTCTAAGGCATTGTTTGTCATGAAAGTACAAATAGTTGATCTAATTAGCATATGATTTCTTTCAGTCCCAGTTACAGCTTTAGAAATTGCTCGGTAAAAACAGTTGCCATCTCCTTTTATTTTATGACAGATATAAGCAGATATTTCAGCATGTTTAGTAGTTTTAATTGGATCAGTACCTACACTAACAGTCTCCCCAGTATAATCCTGTATCGATAAAGCAGCAGAATTTTTCCATTCTGTGGAAGGTGTTTTTTCTATTGCTAGAGGCATCGCATCTTCAGATTTAATATATTCAACATCAGGAGACTTCCCTCGGTTTCTAGGATTCAGTGGACATGATCGTTGGTGTGAAGATTTTTCAATACTGCAAGTACATTTAACATTACTGATTATAAACTCTTCCAAATCACTATCAATACCAGAGCTATTCAAAATGCTACCATCATTACCATCAGAACTAGAAAATAAGCTTTCATCATCATCATCATCATCATCACTATAATCAAATATTAATTTGCCCTGATCAATTACCTTATCATTTGTTATACTTTTATGCACAGACTCTGCAGCTAATAAGCTACACTCACTACCTAAATCTTGATCAAAATTAGTTATACTTAATTTACCTCTTTTTGTATTATTAATCTTCCAATCTCGTTTTGCTTTTCTTTTATGAGATGATTTGGGTGTTTCCTTCCCATATGTGTGACATGTCTTATGTTGCTCAACCCATAATTTACGTGCAACGTGTTGAGATTGCCTATGCCTTTTCCTTGCTCTTCTCTTGGGCTTATACAAAGTGACATGTCCTGGATGTATGTGCACAAAGGGCCAGCTTACCATTGGTTACTTGATCTTTATGATAGAATGAGCTTACCCAGATTTGATGGTATGGCTGACACATTAAAGGCATTAAATGTTGCTAGGCTTAAGTCTTTTTTAAGAGTGAAGCAGCATGATGTTAAATGCATAGTAGTGAAGCATCTGTAGATTTAAATTCTTTGTTCTAAACTGCAGCAATACATTGAGATGATTCAATTATACTAGTGTGGCAACACCCTAACTCCTCATGAATAATTTGTTTTGATTTAGCAATAACAGCTTCACATGCAATTTCATATGCAAGACTATGGAACGGGCAACTTAAAACATTTTTTGTTTTGTTTGGCTTACCTTGACATGTAATGTCACCTTTTGTATATTTTCCACAATCACAAACAGTTAAATCATAAAAGAAACATTTACCACCTTCATATTTATGCACATTTTTTGCATGGTACTTAGCTTGTGAGTGAAGTTGATCTGAAAAGGCATCTTGATGACAGCCAACAGACTCAACAATAGCAGAAAAGCTTATCCTAGCCGTTTTAATAAATCCTTTAGTAAAACAACCAAAGTCATCCTTCATACAGTGACACTTTACTGTAACAATGCCAGGGTGAGTTTTTTCATACTTCTAATTTGGCTTTTTTTAATTTTTTTTGCTTAGCTAGCCTTTTTAAATGCTTTTCATGATTTCGTGCAATATGACCAGTACACAAAATAATCCTGCAATTAGGAAAATTAGAAAGCAAAGCCTTTGAAGGTGTACTGTCATTATCTTGCACATGAATGCTAATGTTCATTTCATCAGTTACAGCTTTTCTAAAAACCCAAATCCCTCTTCAGATTTTTATGTACCTTCGAACAATTCTTCTCTTATGTCATCCTTACCTCTTTGACTGAAATACTTGTAGTACAAAAACCCACTAATTTGATAGTTTCGCAGAGTATACGTAGCATTTTGACTACGGTAGCCACGTGTTAACCATGCAGCATCACCACATGTCACAGCATTTTTAAATGACCCAAGCTCACTATCATTCTTCTGCTTCATTGATTCCTTTGCTTGTTTGCACATATCCATAGGTGGCTGCAGGCCCAGGCATGCCCTGGCTATGCCTGGAAGCTTTCAATCAAAACTACACCCAAAAGGTGTGTTTTGTTATTATTAGGAGTGAGATTATCACTATAATTCATTTTTTATAACCACAACTGTTTATACACAGTATCAGTTCGTCTTTACAGTTATTTTTGTGTGGTACCTGGCTTCAAGTGGCTAGTATTATTAATGTTCAGTTATTGAATTAATTGACCACACCCCCAATTGTTATGAATAATTAATGAGCCTGGGTAAATTCAAAATTCTGCAGCCGCCTATGCACATATCATTTAGTATACCCTTGACATGAGGGTACATCAAAGCTAGTGTCTTATAAATTGATTTTCCTACACAGTACATACCAAGGGCATTTCTAAGTACTTTAGCATATTGAGAATACATTGCACCTCAACATATAAATGCAACTTGCAGGGCAAGACCAACTGCTGTGCAGTTTTCAGTCTCATGCTTAATCGAGCTCTCAAATGCAACACATCTCTCAGCACAACCAGTACAATCATATTGTAAAGTAACACAACCTTGTTGACCAATCATACTAACACAAACAAGTTTTAACTTACCATTACATGATGGTGTTGTACATTTTGAAGTTAAATTAATCTGATCAATAAATTTACATATTTGGCTTACTTGACCCAAAAGAATTGAATTACTATTTGGTAGTTCACCAGAGTTGCGTCCTTCAGGAGTATTCAAGTTGAAATCAGGATCATTAATGACCCCTGTTGTTCCATCTGAATCAGGACTTGCATCCTCCCCCTTTGGTGTAGCTGTCACATCACCTTCCTAATAAATATTATGATTGAAAATGAAAGGTGTGGATGACCTCAAGTTCCCTCCCACATGGTCATTTTGTGCAATTTGATTGCATTGGGTAAGTGACACTACATGTATGTACTAGGCAGCTTCCTCAGCATACTATGACATGGATGGCTTTCAAGACAATTTGAGAAAGTTACTAGCTAAATACCATAGGTAAGTGATTATGATTGAAAGAAATGGTATGATCGATTGGGGGAAGTGCTAATTTACTGACCTCATTTCTATCATCATCATTTTCTGCGATAGTAGAGGAAATAGGTGTAGCAGCTGTTTAAGATCCGGCGGTCCACCTAGCCTTGTGAAGAGCTTCAAACCTTTTACTTTGTTTCTTCCGTGGCATTTTAGATTTAAATTTCAACAATTATATTCACTTGAGTCATCATCAGTATGCATGTGACACGAGCGTCATCGTCAATGAATGTGTTTTATAGTATGGTAGTAGCTGCAGTAAGATGGCTGCAATTTCGAAATACAAGTTAGGGCCTTAAAACTCCACACTAATATGCAATGCATATTCATCATATACTTTTCCGCATTAAAAATATTCTTATGAAATAAATCACAGATTAACTTTTGACTAAACAAATCACATTCAAAATTTTTTGCATCATTGATTAAGCACAATTAAAATTTTAAATTAAAAATCTTTTTATGATAGAACACTGAAAAGGTTCTGTGAATTTTTAAAGGATAAATTTATCACACAAAAAAATAAAAGTAATGCAAAATTATTGCAAGTGTAGTAAGAGTAGTCTTTTGAATCTAGGCCAGTGTTGACTTCGCTGACCTGTTGAAATGCCTATGGAGAATTGTAGGTTAATTGATAACAAAAATTAGAAAATATACATTAGGATCTACTAAGTTGCTAAATTTTGAGTCGCATCTGTGACACTGGGATTGTACCCTTAACATCTTTAGCGATTCTATTTTTCTATTTTTGCAACTTCTCATACAACTTAGCCCCCAGGATCTTAGGGTTGGGATTGGGGTTTAGTTTCTATAGCATAGGTCAAGAAATAACACCCTCTCGTACATCTTAGCCTCCGGGGTCATAGGGTTGAGATTGCAGTTTAGTGTTTAGTTTTTAGAGCACCCTTTTGAACATCTTAGCCTTTAGGATAGTAGCGTTTTTAGATTAGGGTTTAATGTTGATAAAAGACTAAACTCCATTTTGCACAGTTGCGCATGCGCACAAGCTGTTTTACGGAGAATTATGGACTGCCATTAGCTCTAGCAATTGCAAACTGTGTCCGTTACCGGAGCTGTAGCCACAGCCTAATTTTTAAGAACATGAAATATGTCATTTGTGATGCACTTAAGTGACGTGAAGATAATGTATGCATTTTAAAGGAAATAGAACATGAAGAAAGTTATGGAACACAAACTATAGACAACAGTTCAGCAGTAAAGTACTCTACATAAAAGCATGCATTTATTAACAAGAAGCTGAAAGCAACTTACACAA